AGCGAGATCAGAGAGGCAGAGAAGGAGGTACGGTAATAGGATACAAGAGCGGGCCAGACAGGTAAAAGAGTTGTGTTTTTCTGGGTCCAGAGCCCTGGACGGCTGCAGCTTGCTCCGCCCTTCACTTACACTTTCCCGGTGAGGCACCCCTTCACCTCACCATCGGGACCATATTAAGTCCACGAATCCTGATTAATGGATTTTCTTCTACCGTACTTGTACAGCATTGCCCTTAATGCTTTCATACAGTCGTCGCATATGGCAGAGATGTGGCCACTGCCATTTTTTAGCTCCCCCCACAATATGCAGCAACCACAGATTCTCCAATCCAGGTTGGAAGTTTCAGTACCTGCTCTATAAGATGACCCCCGGCGTATAAGACTACTCCCGCATATAAGACGACCCCCATGCATAAGGCTACTCCAGCTTATAAGATGGCTCCCGCGTATAAGATGACCCCTGACTTTTGAGAAGATTTTCTTGGCTTAAAACGTAGTCTTATACACCAGAATATACAGTAATACTATATTTACTCATGTAGAAGTCAACCTCATGTAGAAGTCAAGAGCAGGTTTTGAAGCCAGAATTGTGGATGTGAATATGTCCCACCAGGTTTTCTAAAAAATAAAATGTCTAGACTTATACACAAGTAAGCATCTTTTTCTTCCCCTATCTTCCACACTCAGCATGTGAGGAGATATAAATCAATAAAATACAGTACTTATTTTATACATATACATAATTTTCCAGCAAGGTGGAAAATGTAGGGTTTTTTTATCAGCAGCCCTCAGGGAAGTACATTAAGCTGCTGAGAGAGATCATCCAGAGTTTTGGAGTTCAATGTCATTTGTATGCAGATGACATACAGCTCTATCATTCCTTTCCGCCTGCTGCTAAGGAGGCTGTTCAGGTCCTGAATCAATGCTTGGCAGCTGTGACAGTCTGGATGAGGGTGAACAAACTGAAATTGAATCCAGACAAGACAGCGTACTCTTGGTCAGTCAAAAGGCTGAACAGGTTATAGGGTTCTAGCTTGTGCTGGATGGGGTTACACTCCCCCTGAAGACACAGGTTTGCAGCTTGGGAGTACTCCTGGATTCTCAGTGGTGGCCAGGGGAGCTTTTCCACATTAAAACTTGTGCGCCAGTTGCACCCATACCTTGAGAAGCCAGACTTGGCCACAGTGGTCCATGCTCATTACATCCCGTACAGACTACTGCAACATTCACTACGTGGGGATGCCTTTGAAGACTGTTCAAAAACTTCAAGTGGTCCAACATGCAGCAGCCATATTCCTTACTGGAGGGGTGTACAGCGAGCATACAACTCCCCTGTTATCTCAGCTCCACTGCCTGCCAGTCTGTTACTGAGCACAATTCAAAGTGCTGGCTTTAGCTTATAAAGCCCTAAATGGTTTTGGCCCAGCTTACTTGTCCAAACCTATCTCCCTCTATGAACACCTCGGATGTTAAGATCTTCTGGTAAGATCTTGGTCCCAACTCCTTCACAGGTGCATTTGGTGGGGACGAGAGACAGGACCTTCTAAGTAGTGGCCCCTTGCCTGTGGAACTCCCTCCCTAGTGAAATTAAATCAGCTCCCTCCCTCGTGTCCGTTAGAAAGAAAGTAAAAATGTGGCAATAAGTAGTTATGGAATAAGTGTAATGACGACTGGAATGGCTCGTTGGATTATGATTTTGGATTGTGTGGTTTTAATTATTGGTTTTAAAAATAGATTTTTTTTTTTACTTTGGGGATTTTAATGTATACATTTTTCATTTGTACTGTTATGAATACCCTTCCCACATTGGAAAAGACTGCCCCACTTCTGACACCAATTTGTTATGAATAATTTGTCAATAACTTTAAAGCATAGTTTCTTTTTATTGAAATTTCCAGTGTAAGAGGGTATATCAGATTACAGAACTTTTACACAAAAAATGACATTAGGCATATAGATTCTATGCAACTACATTGGATTTAGAATTACATGGTTAACAAACAAACAAAGGGGAATTACATTTTCACTAAGCATTCACACACATGTACATGCATTCATCCTATTGCACCCAAATATTACCATATCCTTTCCCCCCTCCTTGGAGAAGCACCTGTTAGGCCAGACCCTGCTTCCCTGCAGCCTGCCAACGCATAGTTCAAAAACTTCCATAATGCCAAAACTTGAAATGCCAAAACTTTTCCCCTAAGAACAATGCCAAGGACCAGATCTCTGTTTTCCATACAGCAGAACCTGACTCCCTGCACAAAATCCAAGACTAAAAACCGTACTTCTTCCTCTTCCCTTGAGAAAGAAACCTCAAAGTCACTAGACTGCTCCCTTGCAAATCTGCCACTCTCCAAATACACCATCTCTCTCCTTCCCATGGAGCAGAGCATGGTGGGTGAACCAGACTTCTCAGGTCTGTCACAATTTGAGCATTATTAGACTGAGTCTTTTATAGGAATATTCTGGTGCTGTAGTCCCAAAGTTTTAAATTAATGATAGATGTCTTCCATCATGGCTCCATCTCAGTTTCCTGGCCAGATGTTTACTCTTCTTGATTGGTGTTGACAAACACAAGCCTTGTGTTGGCTTCCTTTTTAACATGTTGCAAACATTTCCTTAACTTGAAAGAACCATTGCCACAGTTCTTATCAGAGTTTAGTTTTCAGTTCTTATTAGCAACTTTTAATTACAGTCCAGCAAGCAGGTACCTAGTCATTACAGGCCTTAGTATTATACTGGTGCTTCGAAAATTATTAACTCCATCCATACAGCCTTCCATTCTTCCATTCATACCATATATCATATTAAATTAAATGATTAAATGATAAAAGTCTATGAGGGGTATTTTTTAAGTAAGGTCCGTTGGAACATAAGTACACAATGAAAGTTTATTTCAAAAAAGAAAATTTATTTTCAGAAAGTACATACTTCACTCTTTTTTTCGACATAGTTGCCAAGTTTGTTCAAACACTTATCATACCTCTGAACCAATTTTAAAATACCCTCTTCATAAATCCTGCTTCAACTGAAGCCACCAAATCATCTGTAATCAAAGAAGGGCGACCGGAGCGGTCCTCATCATGGACGTTGTCACAGCCATCTTTGAATTGTCGTACCCACTTATGCACTTTGCTTTCACTCATAACAGTATCACCGTGCACTTCACAAATCTGTCGATGAATTTCTGCAGCAGGCAGGTTCCTTGCTGACAAAAACCGTATCACTGAGCGAACCTCACATGCGGAGGGTGAGTTGATAGTCTTAAACATTTTTAAAGCACAGAACAGAACCGTACAGGTTAGCTACACAGCGGAAACTGAGCACAGTTGTTCCCGAGGCATGCCGGTACACAACGCACGCGCTCGTTGCGGTATGCGCGCGAACTACTAGTGTCTACAACAAAACGGACCTTACTTTAAAAATACCCCTCGTAGTTAGGGCCAGGTGAGTTCCTTACCTGAAGCTGATACCTGCAGAACAACATTCAGTCACTATTAATGTACAACAGTACTCTTTGATCTTTACTCTTCCAGATGTTTTGCACTTCCAGAAGTTCCAGTTGCCATGGCCAGTAGTAAGGGATTGTTGGAGTTGATGTCCAAGACATCCAAAAGAACAGCTCTTTAGAGCATGCTCTGTGACTACCAAGCTAGATGATTAGCCAATAGTAGGAGCACTTATAAGGCAGCTTCCCTAAGATGGCTTGAAGAACCACTGCAGCTATCAGGTTCTTGCTTTCTTCCCATGTATGAAAACTTATTTTTCCTATTCATTTTCTTGCCTTGTTGAACCTTGAAGTTGCCCCCACCCAGACTCTTAGATGAATCTCTCCACCCCTAATCGACTTCAAAATTAAATGATACATTAAGGGTAGCTGCTGGAGTTTGCTTCCAGGAGCCAGTGTGGATATTAAAATTCATGGGTGCTCAGTTCTCAATATATACAATAATAATAATAATAATAATAATAATAATAATAATAATAATACTTTATTTATACCCCGCCACCATCTCCCCACAGGGACTCGGGGCGGCTTATATGAGGCCAAATCCAGCAATACAATACATCAATATAACTGAACACAGCAATAAAATGTAAAAATAAAAATACAACACAAAACCAATTATAAATAACACATCAAAATATAAAATCACAACGTTTAAAACACAGAAGTCAGACACTGTGGGCAGGGCCAATTCTAACAGAATTAAAAATTAAAACTCTGGGTGAGACAGCAATGTAATATATCTGGATAGGAGATCCAAAGGATAAGTAGGGTTGATTGCACTAACGGGAGGAATAAAGCGCTTCCGAGGGCATTCTGCAAGAATTGGTCAAGACTAGGGATTATTGTACATTCATTCTGTGAAGGCACACTGGAACAGCCAAGTTTTCAAGCTCTTCCTGATGACTGTCAGAGTGGGGGCTTGCCTAACCTCTCTGGGGGCCACCACAGAGAAGGCCCTCTCCCTCGACCCCACGTCGCACCTGTGATGGAGGCGGGAGTGAGAGAAGGGCCTCTCCGGAAGATCGAAGAGATTGTGTGGGTTCGTATACAATGGGATAATAATAAAATTGTATCCCTTATATAAAATGGCAACATCAAAGATTGGGATTTTGGGATTTAATTTTGTTTTCAAGCTGTGGATGTTGGATATAGGGAGATGTGGGTAATGCATTCATTATTATTATTACTATTGTTATTATTATTGTTGTAGAGCAGTGATTCCCAAAGTGAATGTTACTGCCCCCTGGTGAGCGCTGCAGCGATCCGGGGGGGGGGGGCAATGGTAATAGCCACAGGTGCATTTGGGGGTGATGAATAACTGTTAGGGGGTGGTGAAAGCAAAAAAGAAAGAAGAGAAGATTTAGAAAAATTGATTTCCCGGGGTAGGCCAAATAAGTTTGGGAACCACTGCTATAGAAGGTTGACTGTATAGTAAAATGTCATTAATATCCAGTATTTATGCTCTTCTTTTTTCCACTTTCTCATAGGCATGTAGCTTAATTGCTAGACCATTGCTTGAAAATGATACACACAGACCATATAATAAGCATTTTGCAGTGAAACGTATTTCTAAGCGGGATAGTACTACCTGTCAAAATAATGTGCAATATTCATTCAATACATCTACTGGTGTCATCTGCTGTAGCTCTTGTTATCCCGGTACGTATTACTGTTAAGTTAAGGAACAGATTGTCATCAGTTCGGACATCCCAGAATGGGGCCATGCTTTGTAATTTTTACACTAAAACTCTTGCTAATTTCAGATATTATGCTCACCTCTTTGCAACATGGTGTGAAACTGATTGCAACTGGGCATTACAAATAATAAGAAATGGGGCCTTGTTGTCAAGGGAATGAAGCCATAGATAGACCACTAGGCCACTAGATACAGCAGCATAGAGTGCACGTGGATGTGTATTTGGAGTATCTCAGGAATTAAAAGGCTTGTGCGCCAGCTTCGCCCGTACCTTGGGAAGTCTGACTTGGCCACGGTAGTCCACACTCTGGTTACATCCCGTTTAGACTACTGCAACGCTCTCTACGTGGGGTTGCCTTTGAAGACGGCTCAGAAGCTCCAATTAGTCCAACGTTCGGCAGCCATGATACTAACAGGAGCGGAGCGCAGGGAGCATACAACTCCTCTGCTGCACCAGCTCCACTGGCTGCCGATTTGCTACCGGGCTCAATTCAAAGTGCTGTCGTTGGCCTTTAAAGCCCTAAACGGTTCTGGCCCAACTTATCTATCCGAACCCGCATCTCGACCTACGAGCCCACCAGGACTTTGAGATCTTCCGGGGAGGCCCTGCTCTCAATCCTGCCTGCTTCACAAGCACTGCTGGCGGGGACGAGAGATAGGGCCTTCTCGGTGGTGGCTCCTCGGCTGTGGAACACCCTTCCCGTGGACATTAGACAGGCTCCTTCCCTGATGATATTCCGCAGGAAATTAAAAACTTGGTTGTTCAAGAAGGCGTTCGAACAAGAAGTGCAATGATTGGTAATGACTTTAGGAATGGAACAACGGAAATGATACTGGATTGTGGTTTGGACGATGAGACGACGCTGAATGGTTTTCGTAGTAATGACGATGTTTTGTATAATGCTGGATTGTGAATTGTTTTTTATACTGTGTCTTGAATTTTGTTGTTCCTATGTTGTACACCGCTGTGAGTCGCCCCTGGGCTGAGAACAGCGGTATATAAGCAAAGTAAATAAATAAATAAATTAATTAATCATGCCATTGAATATCTTGGCAAATGGCACTGGTTAGTTAGCACTTTGGATGTAATTCTTCCTTAATTGTCCTCTCAAAAGAAGCAGTGAGAATTTTTGCATTGTTCAACTCACTGTGAGAAAATGTTTGAAAACACACAGGCTTCAAAGCCTTGTTACAATTCAGAACTTTTTCTGTGCTAAACATGCACATAATGCTTTTGCACAGAAAACAGTATTTTCTGCACAAGACAGCATTTTCCTCTAGAGGCAGCTACTCCAGCCAGCAAGAACTCAACTGGCAATCACCACCCAAAGGACCTTTTCATCAGCCACCCCAAGGCTATGGAACGGCGTGCCGGAAGACATCCGACAGATCAGCTATCAAAATTTAATACACAATTGAAGACCCATCTCTTCCGGCAGGCCTACCCAGTCAGTTTTAATCATGAATTTTAAACCGAGGTCTTATGTCCACTATATTTTAACTATTTTTATGATTATTTTAATATGTGTATTTATGTAATGATTATGTGTTTTTAGCTATGATGTTACCCACTTATTATTATTATTATTATTATTATTATTATTATTATTATTATTATTCTGACTTCAGTCTTGTGCACAAACTTTTTTTAAACAGGTTTTGTTGCTAAAAATATTGGTTGCACAAAAACGGATCCTATAACCAAATGCAAAAGCTGCACAGAGGGGAAAGAGTATATGGACAAAATGAATCATAAAACCAAATGTCTGCGGTGCAATGATTGTGACAGAGAGCATGGTATGTTTATATCTTACTTTTTATTTGCATCCCAAAAAATGCAATTGCATTTTATTACAAAAGGCCTACATTGTTATTTTTTTGTAAAACAGAGGCAACACGTGTTGCCTATGAAGCAGACATTTATAATATTCCAGGAGGATTGTGAATCTTCAAGTGACACACTGTCAGTTCTTCTTCTGTATTTCTGGCTGTTGTTTGTAGACAATGGCTACATTACAACAGGATTATGTGTCTACCATGGCATTGCACTTAAAACTAGAACTTGCATTAGGCGCTGCTATTGCACTAATGATTATTTTAAAAACTTACGATTACTATGTTTTATGAATTTTCATTCATGTAAATGCACTAGCTAATTCATCATGTGACATGGCTTTTAACCTCATCCTTTTGTAATGCATTTTATCATCTTGTATTTCTGTGTCCATTCAGGACAACTTACAAAGAATCAGGACTGATGAGGTCTGGCAATTTTTCCTACTTCTTATTGTACCATTTAACGTAGCTTCTTGTCATTTCCTTGTCCAAACAGTCTTCTGATCTTCAACCAAAAAAACCTTTGATACAACTGGTTGTAACATGAGTTGTGTCATTAGAAACTAGTACAGTTAGCCTTCCACATTAACAGGATTTAAAATTATATTATGGGAGGAATAGCGGACAAAAGAAAGGCCTACGCAGGGTAATACGCCCCTCGGGCGCGTGGGACATTGCTTATGGGTGTGTGATCTTGGTGGTTGTTAGAGTCATTAACAGCGTGCCGGAATTGGTGTGGGCTGTCAGAGAATTTTTTTTACTTTGAGTGGGTGTGTGCCGGCTATTCTCTTGTGCAATGTGGCTTGATTCCTTGGGGGGGGAAAATAAATCTGTGAGAATAATGAATTTTGCATAGCAAGTGTAGTTAGTAATTTGTTCTATTTTCAGTTTTGCCACTTACCCAGTATAATGCCTACATAGTTAGCTTTTGTTTTGTTGTAGATTCTTTTTTTTTTGTAGTGTTTTTGTTTTAGTGCGTGTTGGCGGGCATGGGTTGACACTATTTCGAAAATCACCCTTCATACCCACAAGACGTGTGCCCAAACCTCCTCTAATGAACCATCAAGACGACTGGGTTGGCGAACACAGAGCCCCACCCGTGACGACACTCACATCCTGCTGGCAGTTTGGGAGCACGGTGTGGGCACCATGGATGATGGAACTTCCAGTATCTTCACTCACATTCTGAGACCTCTGCAAACCTCATCCAATGACGGATCAAGACCAAACTTGGCACATAGACCTCTCATGACCCACTTTACGTCCTGGTGTGGTGGAAAAATTTGGAGATAGATGATGGGACTTGCAGTAACTTCACTCACTTCCTGAGACCACTGAGAACCTCGCCAAAGACTGATCAAGACCAAACTTGGTACACGGAGCCCCAATGACCCAGTCTACATCCTGGTGCAGATTGGAGGAGGACAGACATGGATGATGGGACTTCAAGTACCTCCACTCCCTTCCAAACATTGCTGCAACCCTCTTCTAATGACCAATCAAGACCAAACTTGGCACACACAGCCCCCATGATCCACTCTACATCCTGCTGCAGTTTGAAAGGGGATGGACTTTGGATGATGGGACTTGCACTACCTTCACTCACTTACTGACACCACTGCCACTCTCATCTAATGACTGATAAAGACCAAACTTGCCACACAGAGCCCCCATGATCCACTCTATATCCTGCTGCTGTTTGTAGGAGGATGGGCCATGGATGATGGGACTTCAAGTACCTTAACTCACTTCCTGAAAATAATGCAGCCGTTATCCAAAGACCAATAAAGACCAAACTTGGCATACAGAACCGCCATTACCCACTTTCTCTAATAACCCGGGCAACGCCGGGTCCCCAAGCTAGTATATAATAAAGAAGAGTGTTTGTATCGGACAGAGGAATTGGGAGGGCGGTGTATGTGGCAGCGTTCTGATTGGCTGCCGCTGGGTGGCTATTTGGCATTATGGTCGTTAGCTGTCAGCTTCACGAGGAGCAGCCCCTGGTGGTTAGAGAAGAGGAGTTCTATGGCAGAAACGGGAGCACATTGAACAGACGGAAATTGGCTATATGGTTGATGACT